TGTATGCAAGCGTGACGACGACGCTGGAAATTTTAAAGTTTTCGTGACAGCTTATATAACGCTGATTTTGCTATACTAGTAAAATTAAGAATTTCTAAATTAATAAGTTCACGCACGAAAAAATATTCCTTTTCAGAGCTTTCGTTGCGTGCGCTGCGTAAACGGTTAAAGTTACACAAAAATCATGTCTAGAAGAAGAAATTGTTCTCCTTTAAAGGTTCTAGATAAAGTCCGCAACAGGATATATCTATCTTTCAAGGTTGACTCACTATAACCTGTTTTTGGTAATCAAAGTTGTTCTAAAATAATGTATTATCTGCGAAGGTGTCAGGCTTCTGAGGGATTTTCAAAAAAACATTATAATATATATAACTATTTATAGTTAACGTGGACAAAGTCGCGAGCTGCCGCTAGTTACAAATTAAGCGGCTTAAGTGCATGCATTTAAATCCCATATTTAACGAGTTGAGAAGTTAAGAAAACAACACAGAACAGTTTTCGAAACCCACTCCAATTCCAAGCTGATCCGTAGCTGCATATTATAGACTTTACTACTTCATACAAATATAGCATACAAAACATTACCATAACACTTCCTGCCTGTATTATCAAAACCGCCAGGCCTATTAGCTAACTAGTTTGTCCAATGAAATTAGACGCTCAAATTCCAACAAGGAGTCCCAAAAAAGTAATTAATATTCCACACACCTCAGATATTGTTCTAAACCAAAGCGATTGGTATAAGCTAGCAATTACATACAAAAACTAGCGGCCCGCCCTCGCTTCGCTTCGGTGTAGAGCTGAAGTGTAGACTACAGTTTTTGTTCTCAGGCTTGTATTATACACAATGACATTCATCTATGATTCTTCTTATACCTGCAATGAAAAGTCTCAGCCCGATCGGTTTAAAATTGACAAAGTTTCATACAAACTTTCATTCCCTATTTTACCCCTTGGGGGTAGAATTGATCAAAATCCTTTCTTAGCGGATGCCTACGTCATAACATCTACCTGCATGCCAAATTTCAGGCCGATCCGTCCAGTGGTTTGGGCTGTGCGTTGATATCACTATATCAGTCAGTCACCTTTAAGTTTTATATATATAGATACCGAATCAGCTACTCCGTCGCATTGCACTTGCAAGTTTCTGTTTTCAGTAACAATTTTGTAAGGAGGGAGGCAACGCGGTATTTTTTTTCAAATTGGAGCACCCTTCTGGGGAAGTTACCTCCATCTTACATAAGACCACATTAAAATAACACCTTTTGGTGGTGTTGTGTTTCAGTCGGTTAGTACAGTTCCAGGGCGTAGGTAGGGCCCTGTTCACTTCAGCGAGCGCCCGGGCTGGCTTAAGGGGTTAGGGAGGAGTCTCACATACCTTCTTCTCGCTCCCCCAGTGGTTGAAGGATGCGTAAGGCATTTCCCATATACAAAAAAAAGCTCCACGGGGAGGCGATTGGGCAAGAACAGGCAACGGCGCGAGTGATATTTGATGAGGGCTTTCCACCGTTTTAACATAAAAAAAAAAAATTAAAGACTTCCATAAAACAATGTGAAATCCGTTCCTTAGCAATTTTAAATCTTACTTGCACTAGAGATAAGTTAACTTACAGCAAGAATACCACAAGATTTTTCCCCGTAATGGCTATGAAGGAATCTGTATTACCAACATTAATCACATTGAAAGCATTCCTGTTTGGAGAGGTGGATCAGAAAAAATAATGGAAAATGTAAAGAAAATTATGAGAGACGTCAGGAAATGTATAAAGCATGCGATGCGAAAGCAGAAATTTTCACTTAAGATGATTTTTTCCTCAACAAATCACAGTAAAATACAGAGATAATTCTAATACGTTAATTCGGTGAGTTGGGAAAGTTTATTAACGTCATAATTTCTTATTCAAATTGAAAATTAAGAATGATGTCTCGCACTGAAGATCTCTGTGGGTAAATTAAAACGACGAAGTCTGGCAAGAGAATAAAATAATTTTTAAAATCCTTCGTCTGTCTTACCTAAAATTACTGTTATAATTATAACATACATCTTTGCCCGTTATTCTAGTTATTTCTAATAGTTACCTCTAAGAAAAATTAATCTGCACATTACATAAGTCCAGTAGTCAATGTGCTGCAATTTGTTACTACTTGACTATAAATCAAGTTCCGGTTAAGTATTATTAATTGTAGTGAGCACTTTTCAAAACTTGTGTGCCAGTCATGCTACATTTTGTGTATAACTAAATAACACTATTCAATTGTTTAAACTCAATTAAGTTGCATTTTTGCAACTGGACTCCTAAAGAGAAATTTGCAAACCAGTGTGATTCCAGGGCTCCACGGGGTAGGGGATAGGTTAATAGTCAGATAGGATCATGGCACGAGTGAAGTACTACTATCGCAAGCGTCGTTGTCGTTGCCAGCCGTTTACCATCAGGCGAACAGAGCCGAGGTTGGAATCTCAGAGACGCCCTCTAGTTGAGCTGACCCCTTCAGGTTCGAGTCCCACGACAACGGGTAACAAGAGACTAGAGCCGTGGTCCGAGTCTCAGAGACGCCCTCTAGTTGAGCTGACCCCTCAGGTTCGAGTCCCACGACAACAGGTAACAAGAGACTAGAGCCGAGGTCCGAGTCTCAGAGACACCCTCTAGTTGAGCCAACCCCCCCAGGTTCGAGGGGTCTAGAGGCTCCAGTCGGTCCAGACGGAGAGGATACTCCTCCCGAGGGGAGATGCCATCCGCCTGGAATACCACTAGAGGCACACGCCAATTCACGGCTAGAGGTATTCTTAGGATCTCGCCGTCCCCAAACCCGGTGACACTGTAAAGGTCATCTACGACAAACAGTATACACACTCAAAAAAAACAGGCGAACCATATGCTTGTATGCCACTCCTTTTAAATAAAAAAGTGGATATGAAACGAGTAAGAGATGCCAAAATTTTATTTGTATAACATTGACATACAAAATAATAAACAATTGAATTTTCCATGGCTTCGCGGTGAAGGGATACAGAGTTCATGCCGGAAGTAGGCAAGGAGGAAGCCTGAAGCGGCATATTTTTTTTCGCCACATAACCTGTATTCCTTACAAATTTCTACTCAACAAACTTAATAACTGGTGGATTAGAGTGAATATACATTAGGTACATAATTATTAATTTCCTTTATTTGCTATTCGCCGCCACACAAACTTAATTTCGTAGAGTGTGTGACATTTTAAACTCTGTTCGTTGTTACCGTGTTATAAGGCCAACCGTTATCAAATTTAATTAAAAAACAAAAATTCTAAATTAACGCAATCAAAAAGTTTTGTTGCTTATTTTGTGCCTATTTTCGACGCCCACAAACTTACCATGTTGACCTAGGATGATGAAATAACACAAAAGTAATTAAAAACTAATAAAACGTAAAATATAAAATAATTCATTCTCCGGGATTCCATTCCCATGATGAACTAACAATATACTTGTAAATACGAGTTCTTTGGTACGTGAGTCTAACTCGCATTGGACCGATTTTTCGTGTCTTTGATACAATCCTTCAATGACCTTTGACAAACTTTACTAACCAAATATTTTTTTTTATAGATAGGTCCGACAAATGACTCCACCCCACCTGATTTTAAGTGTCGGTGAAGTCCAGACGTGAAGATTGCTGGTACAGCAGTTCTACCTGCCACACCAGCCATCCTCACCGGCCTGCATGTTACTTCTTCACGCCTGTTTTAAAGGATCCCAGATTGTAAGAAGGAGGGAACGTGAGCGGGCAGAGCTTTCATAGTCTGTAATTTTGAAAATTGTTTACTAATTACAGTTAGTTACAAAGGGCATGATGTCCCATTCACCCTAGTAAGGTGCAACAATAATAATTTGAAGATTTTGTATGAAATTATTCAATTTTTCTAGACGTTGGTCAAGAGTGCTTATTAATCACTTTTAGGTGCATTCCTTGATGCGCAAGGACAATGTTTTGTCATAATATTCTTTTTTTTTTCATTGTTCCATTTAGCTTTTGACACTCTTATCGCCAGTTCCAACAATTTTCAATTATTCATAGACGCCGTGTCGGAGTGTCCGCACTATATATTGTCGGTATACTCACAAAGAAAAGGGTTTCATAAAACAATGAAGATTTAATGTAACCATTTTTGGTGTTCTCAACATTTAGGATACCTGTATGGATGTGTAAATTTATAATATTTGTTTTCAATCTGTAAGTATTACACATATTAAAATCGATATTCTTTGTATCCATTAATAAATTGGTATCGATAAAAATATCTACATTTAATATTGAACGTATCAAAGTTACAAATATGGTAGATAATTAAGATTTCTATAAATATTTACTGTTATATATTGACTGTTATCTGAAATAAGGGATAATTTAAATTAGTTTGTTAGTTGTAAATAGAAATTTTTGTTTTATTGATAAAGGTTATGTTTATACATATAATTATCTAGCTAGTTGCAAATAAGATTAAACAAGTAAATAAGTTAACTTTCAAAAAGAATGATATAATGCTTGAGCATCTAGCATTTATAAATTCAATTGTACTTTATTGTTAGGATAGTCAATTGCAATATGTGTGTAACTTACCGTAATGGAACATTCCCTCTCAATCAAAAAATAGTAAGTACTAGCTACCTACAGCACATTATTTATATTCGACAAAGTTAATACTAGAAATAAAGTATTACTAACTAGTGCGCATGTATCAAGTTTTACAGTTCTATATAATTAACTGAAATTTTTATTTAATTTGAATTGGAATAATAAGTATGTAATTTTATGCAAAATGTTAAAAATATGAAGTTACGTAATGCAAGATAATGCATGAAAATTAAAATAGGTAATGAAATAATTCTGTGAACTATACACACGATTGTACCAATTCTATTGCTAACGTCCATTATAGCGGAGACCCATGGGTCTTAATTCAATTCTCTTCAAGAACTCGGGACTGTCTTGTCTCGTTGTTCCCTTCATTAGTTCGCTCTATTTATACCGTGTGTGCAGAATGTGGTTTTGTGTATAAAAATACTTAACGCAATAACCATAGCGATATATTTTGTCAACTTTAAAGGAAGTCTCTGTGTGAGTAGCAGTTTTGTGTTCATTTTAATATTTTTAAGAATATTTTCAAAAATATATGATTATAGAGTAGCTCGAATGCGCAGAGGGGTTCGATGGCGCAGGTGGTTAGCGCTTTCGGCTGCGATCGTGGAAGTTAAGCAACTTTCGCAGTGGTCGGTCATTGGATGGGTGATCAAAAATTTACTCTCTTGAGCTCCTTCGTGCTTCGGCTGCTTCTGTAGTCGTTAGCACCCAACAATCCGCACTGTGCCCGCGTGGTGGGTCATGACCCAATCTCCCTATTCCATCCATAAGGAAGCCCTGTGCCCCTGCAATGGGAACATTAATAGGCTGATCATCAGCCTGAGATGAAGTTGATAGAAATGACTTTTAGCATTAACATAATCCAAACATCGATTATTTGAATATTACCTTATTTTTAGAGTTCTGTACCTCAAAAGGAAAAAACGGAACCCTTATAGGATCACTTTGATGTCCTTCCGTCCGTCCGTCTGCCAAGACCAGTTTTCTCAGGAACGCGTGGAGGTATCAAAATGAAATTCATATCTAATACTTAGGTCTACTGTCCCTTGGAGCTGTGAAAAAATCAAACTTCTAAGCCAAAGCAATCAAAAGATACAGCCGTTTATGCCGCAAATTTTCGAAACTCGCACGAGAATCAAAACCTACAGGGTACTTCCCGTGAAATTAGAATTTTGAAATTTGGTACTAAGTAAATAGTTTAGATATAGGAAAAATTGCGAAAACCGTAAATTTTTAGTTACATCATATAATAAAAAATATTTTTGCAAATTCTTGTTTGTACGGAACCCACGCTGCGCGAGTCCGACTCGCACTTGGCCGGTTTTATTTATTATAATTTTTATGTATGCAATGGAGATCATATACATTAGTATTCAAACCTTCATAACCAGCGTTGATTAGATTATGTTTCTGAACAATCACCTTACATTTGACGTGACTAATCACCAGATTAGTACCACTTTAGAGTACCAACTCTAAAAATCTTAAATTAGTCTATTCCTGTAAGTAAATTTTGCAGACGAGTCATAAAAATGTAAATTATAACGCGACAGCCTGGTCGAAAACCGTAAATCACATGAAATTGGTTTTAAATTCACTTTAACTCAGGGCAGTTTTAAACTAGGCAATGTAACCACTACTAATAAAAAACCATGCCCATCCCATACTCCTTTATGAAAACTGACTCTCGAAGAAAGTGTTACAGCATACAAAACAGGCCTCAAAAATCACTTTTTATGTATGGAGACATACCATTTATTGTGAGAACGACTAAAGTACGAGTAACTATGGAAATTTCATTTGTCTACCTTTTTCCATTCAAAATATTCTTCTTCTTCTTAAGAGAGGTAGTAGAGCGCTCGCCTGGGTAAGTAAACTCCACCTCTCCAGTGTTTCAGTCGCTGAGTAAGGTTCCAGGATTCCAAGTGGTAGGGGATTGGGTCAGGGTAGGCCATATTATGCTTGTTTGACACCACACATAAAAAAGGTAGTCTTATATCGACACGCAGCGTCAGCATGTCAATAAGGTTCTGCATACCATTGATATTTAATTCTAAAATATTTGCTGTTAATACTATCCGACACGCATGTTTGAATCAAATTAGGCTTTAATCAATTGCATAATGGTTTGCCGAGACTGCGATCCGATCGCTTCCCTTGCGGTGAAATACGATAGTCTCACGTAATACGAATCGTGGTGGTCGAGGGAGATTCAATAAGCCTCTTAGAGATCTACCCCCGATCACCTTTCGTTTAAAGCATTAATGAAATCCAACATAGATCAATCATCATAGAGCCTTATTTTCTGTCGTTAATTTACGCTGTGATTTAATTTGTCAGATCGTTAATTAATTTTATAACTTATGGCTTTTAGATACTGAATATTGTATACGTTAATCGGACTTAGCGTGACCAACTTACTTTAACTTTGTAATGTCATATTGAAGTCTTAGTAAAAATGAACCTCTCACGCTTAGTGTACTGTTGTATTTAATAATAATATTTGAGGCTCGATTTTAATATATGGCAAATAATTGCGATGTTTAATTCCCCTTAAAATTAACAGTGGCATGCTCCGTTGGTTCAGATATGTGGAAAGAAGAGAGAATGAGAATGGAATGAAATGGAAGAATTAGAAATAACGATGCGAAAGTGGAAGAAGAGAATCTAGAAGCCGAGAATGAGAATGCTGAGACAACAAAACGCAATTGAATTGATCGCATTCTGAATGTAGGTAGGCAGTGTAAGAAGCCCTAAACACTGGCGATCATGAAAAGAAGGCTAATGAAGGCAAAAGGTTACGTCTCAAGACGGGCGCTCTATCGAAATATAAAGATCATTTAATATAAAATAAAGCTCCCCCCCCCCCCCCTCTGCAGATGCGTTATTATCGGACGATAATTTTGGATGCGTTATTGCAAAATTTGGCCCTAGCTCTATTGAGATGTATAATCGCAGCAGTGTGTAACTTCGTAGCCGTTATAATACATAATGTACTAAAAACAGATATCGCTATAATGCATCAGATATTATCGATCGATAATAACGCACATAAGGGACGCTTTAACTAACAAGCGGACAAAACTAATTTCATATATCAATAGAGTTGACAGAGTTAGTTCAGAAATTTAGTTCAAAAATTGTTAAGGCACGCGCCATATTGGGTGTGTAAATTTTTTCCCTAGTCTTCTGTTCAGAAACTCAGGCATGTCAGTTTAATAATGATTTTACAAAACTTTCAGAAACCGGGCGTAGTGTAAGCTTATCATGAAACCGGCCTAAAAAAATGACAAGGCGTATTAATAAATGACTTAGACTCGGTTACCTAAAGCCGGAGCTCCCTAATCGCGCTTGCAACGTCTACCTACGTCGTAGAGCCGCATAAATATTTGCATAATTCGCTCTCATTTGTAGCGCCCGCGTAATTTCACGGTAACATGTTACCGCGAAGCGCATAATTCAGCCATGAGATTTTTGCTCCCAATTTTGTTCACATGATCCATCGTAGAGATACTTTATGTATATAAATGCTCTTGTGTGTACCTAAACAGTACTAAATGGTTGGTCTGTATGGACTTCGATATTTTTAACGAGTAACTGCATGCATTGCATGCATTTCACAGGCCAAGACGAAATATTCTTATACGCGTACACTCTATCCAAGAATAATCAACCTAGTTTTAAAGTGTTCATTAAGGTTTCAATATAATACCTAGTTTTAAAGTTTTCATTTTATAGATTATATTTTTTATATTTAAAAAGGAAAAAAATATACTTTTGAAAATGGCGAAAATGAAAGGAAGAGTACCTTCACCGTCTTGATTATTTTAAATCTGAGCCAGTATTACTCGTGATGATGTAAGGTTTCTAAAATATCTATTTAAAATTAAAAAGCAAATACATACCTACTTAAATGAAGCGTGAAAATTTTACTCTCACATTTAGAATGTCGTTTACACGACTTTGTAAAAAAGGCCTTCAATATGAATGTAACAGACGCACCAAATAAACTGAATATTTCAGCTAGTTCCAGATACGTTTCAGCATAGCTGCAGTTAGTCGAATGCTATGCAGCTAATTCGCGTTGCAAGTTTCCAATTGTGGAATTTAGTATCAAATTCTTGAAACTTCGAACGATGTTAAAGTATGCATAATTATTACTGTAGAGTTCATACGATCTCATATACTTATCTTGTATTGTTATTATTGGTGCTTTTGCTGCTTATTTGCAAAGCATTCTTAAGTACCTATATTGTTATTGATCTAGATATAATATAACTCTGCCAAGGATTCAGCCTGAACACGTTCTGAGTGAATTATTGCAGTTAAAAAATGTAGCATTTAATTGCTTAAAATAAAAATAGTAAGACTTTTGATTTAAGTTTGCTCTGAAAGTTCACGGATTCACTTAATTTTTAACTAGCCGTTCAATACTAAAAAACAAAATTGAGTTTTCTCAAAATAACAGCAAGCAGTTAAAGAGTTTCATAATTTGCCCTAAAATCTTTATATATCTTTATCTCAGAAAGTTTTGCGACTAATATTTTTGTCTTCGGGAGACTGGGTGGTTTTGATAGGGGAAATATTTAAACGGTCCTCAAAGATAATAAATTATCCCCTAAACAATTAAATTGGTTTATGAAATTAAATGTTTTTTTTATATATTTGAGTTGATTTCATGAAAGGTCAATAGCGGTTTAAGATTTACGACGTATTAAAAAAACCTAGTTACTAGATCTCGTTCAAACCAATTTTCAGTGGAAGTTTGCATGATAATGTACATCATATATTTTTTTAGTTTTATCATTCTCTTATTTTAGAAGTTACAGGGGGTTTGCACACATTTTACCACTTTGGATGTGTCTCTCGCGTAAACTATTCAGTTAAGAAAAAAAAATATTAGAAACCTCAATATAATTTTTGATCTATCCATAAATACACCACACGTATGGGTTTGCTGAAAAAAAATTAAGTTTCAGTTCTAAGTAAGGGGAACCCCCAAAATTTATGTTTTTTTTTCTATATTTGTGTTAAAATCTTAATGCGCTTCACACAATACATCTACTTACGAAGTTTCAACAGTATAGTTCTTATAGTTTCAGAAAAAAGTGACTGTGTACAGACGGACGGACATGACGAATCTAGAAGGATTCCGTTTTTTGCCATTTGACTACGAAACCCTAAAAATCAAATCAAGAGAATGAAAACAGTTTTTTTTCACCGAAAGATGCGCTGGCTGCATTTGTGAAGGGTTTTGAAAAGATGTCTCATGCGGACTGGGAAATGTGTTATGAAAATTTGTTTGGACATATGAAACTCTTTAGTGACATCAATAGAGAGTTCTTTCAAAAGAGTTGATGACTCAAAATTATATCCAGTAGTTTATTTTTCTGTTGCATCGCAAAACTTTATGAGTGCACCATCAAAAATCTCGGTGTGACTTTTTTACCGAAATCCTCCGAAACGACTTTTCCGAT